AGGATATACATTAAAAATGTGCAGAAGTTTGTCAGCAAGGGCCTGCAGCCCATGTGGTGAGCAAGATTACGTGGTCTGAGCTTTGTAGGCCCTCTCCTAGCTCTTACAGGAGCTGTGGAGGGGAAAGGGAATGAGGTTTCTTCCTTGCAGCATTCCCTGTTACTCAGGGCTCCTATTCCCTCATGGAGGAGGCACTGGCAGCATCACACAGCAGAGGCTGCAGGGATCACTTGCACCTGGGCATCAGAGCGGTGCAAGTGATCCCTGGATCACTTGCGATCAGGACCATCAGCAACCCCCTTCCTGGGATCCAGCAACCCATTGTCTGCCCAACAGGAGGTGAGACAACCCCAGGAATCTAGGGTTGGTCTGTTTTGGGGGGAAAGACTCAGCCTGCCTGGGATCTTGTGCTCCAAGGGGAGCATCAGACCCTTTCCGTGGGTGCTGTCCCCCTGGGTAACAGCTCCGTGCTTCCCTGGGACAGGAGAATAAGGGAAAAGTGTGAAGGTTCCTGCAGAGCTTTTCCCTGTGAAGGAGGACAGGAAAACATCAACAACAGAGAACAGAATGGCTTGCCCCCTCTTCCTACAGACATCTCAAGAGGGAAAGGGAAAAGGGGACGTTTTTCTTTCTCCTTTTCTTCCACTGAAAGAGAAGTCCAAGTGCCACTCGTTGCTCCCTGCTCTCAATTAAATACACAGAAAGTTAAGAAGCAAAACTAAGTGGCACTTGGTTAAAGGGAAGCATCAATTCCAGCTGCAAGCTGGGAATCGACCTGTCCCCCGAAGCAGACAGAAACCCGCCTGCCAAGGGGAGACGTCTGTGCAGTGGACATCAAGGCTCTGCGAGCAAAGGGGCTTCGCCGTGTCTGCAGCAGCCCTCAAATCGATGAGGTTTTGCTGAGACACATCTCTGCCTCCCAAGGCACGGTAATTAAGAGTGTATTTTTAGAAAAAAATGAGACACCGTGTTAATCAATAAGGAACAGCCGAGTTCTCAAGGGTAAAGGTGGCTCGAGTTAATCTGCCTCAGCCTGGAAATCTCTGCGCTCCCAGCCCAGCCATCTCTGGCTGCGTTTGGGCTCTGCAGGGAGCACCCCCTGAGCCCTGCACCTGGGGCTCTGCGCCACGGGGCCACGAGGGGCTGCAAGGCAGGGTGCAGGGCTCTCCAGCAGCATCACCTGGGAGGAAGGACAGAGGCTGGGGAGAGGCTCCCTGGAGAGCTTTCTCTGCGCCCCAACATGCTCCACTCCCTCCGTGCTGCTTTCCCAGAAATGCTCCCCGGTGCGAGGTGCTTAAATCATTTACAGCAGGCTAAAACAGGGCTGGCTCCCTTCCAGGCACTCTGGCATCCAGGCTCTGTAAACAACCCCCTGCCACGAGAGGCAGCCTGGAAAAAAAGACGTTTTGTGTCTATTCCCCAGACCCCACTTCCACAGAAATCTTCCATCGTGATCGTTTCTAGGCTGCAAGCGCAGAGAAATGGTTTCAGGCATTCACTGACCTTCCTCCTCCCCAGACGCTCTCATGGGCATCTCCCAGAGCTCACCCTCACCCTCTGTGCCAGGCAGGTGGAAAACCAGAGGGACCCTCTCAAAATGAGGTGAATCGGGGAAGTCTGATACGCCTCTCTCCACTCCAGATGTTTCCCAGGTAACCTTTTGGAGACAACCTCAATTTTCTGGATAGCTCCAACCTTTCTGAATATGGGAACTCACCCAGGTGTTTTCTCATGACTGCTGAGCTACATCAGACCTGCAGGAACTGAGATGAAGAACCTGGACCAGTGCAACGTTTATTTCTTATGCTTCAAGCAATTAACCAAAACTCTTTGCAATGCAGTTGGAAAATGGCAGGGACGGGGAGCACTCTGAGAGCCCAGTCCAGCCTCCAAATCCCATCTGTACTGAGAGAACAAGGTCCCAGGTGGTCGTGAGATGAGATGTGAGATGTGATGAAGGAACATCCTGGCTCCTCTTTCCACCAGCAGCTCTGCGGGCAGCTCCCAGCTGCCCTCATATGGGCACCCAGCGCACCGGAGCTGGGACAGCAAAATGAGGCAGAGCTTGTAAGGGGCCTGAACAAGCCAGAGCCACCTCAAGGGCAGGTGACAGGGAGGCAGCAGGGCTGCTCAGATGGGCTGGGGAGAACCATCTCATCCCCTAAACACAACCAACTATGGAGCAAAAGTCCCAATCCTGTCCTAGTGCTTTGAGTTTCCGCACACCCCACGGGGGCTTCATCCCCATCACTGTGGGTGTTAGTGGGTCTGTGGGTCTCCCTGAAGTGTGGCACAGCAGAAGACTAAGCCTCTCCTGGGGAAAAATAACCCTCAACCACGTCCCACCCCGCAGGGCACGTCAGCATCACAGCCAGGTGCCAGCTGAGGGTCTGCTGAGGGTCCTCCTGCCAGCTCCTGGCCCTGGGCTGGAAGTGTTTTGGTAGCGCTGGTGCTGGGCATGAGGCAAGCGTGTGGACAGTGTGAGGAATACCCAAGGGAGAAGGATCTGAGTCAGCATTCTCCAGGGAAACCACAGAGGACGGGTGCTGGAGCGCAGGGTGCGCAGCACAGCAAGGTCTGCATGAGGAGGCAGGGATGGGGGGCTGGCAGAGCTATGGGGCTGCAGGTCCCTGGAGCCTAGGATGGGGCAGAACTGCCATAGCCCCAGAGCCAAGGGCTGGATCCGACACCCCAACAATGCAGCAGCCGTATCACGGGATGAGAGAATCACAGAATGGTTGAGGCTGGAAAGGACTCAGGGTCCACCTGCTCCACGCGGGGCCACCCAGAGCAGGTTGCCCAGGACCATGTCCAGGTGATTTTTGAGGATCTCCAAAGACAGAGACTCCAGCACTTCTCCAGGCAACCTGTGCTAGGGCTCCAGCACCCGCACAGTACAGACGGGCTTCCTGGTGGACAGGGGGAGCCTCCTGCCTTCCAGTTTGTGCTCATTGCCTCCTGTCCTGGTGCTGGGTGTCACCGAAAAGAGCCTGGCTCCATCCTCTCTGCAGCCTTCTTTCAGGTAGTTACAGACATTGACGGCCTCCTCTTGAGCCTCCTCTTCTCCAGGCTGAGCAGTCCCACCTCTCTCAGCCTCTCCTCACAGAGAAGATGCTCCAGGCCCTTCAGCACCTTGGTGGCCATAGGTGGGCTCTCTCCAGTGTGCCCAGGTCTCTCCTGTACTGGGAGCAGAGCGCACCCATGCCCACCTCTGCCAAAACACAATTTTCATCTCACATCTCCCTCCCAGGTGCGGTGAGCGGCTGCTGTAACTTGTTGCCATCTGTTATTTTCGTTGTGTCAAAATGCCTCTCTGCCAACCACAGGCCCATGAAATATGCATGCCGTGTCCTCCCCCTTCCCAAAGTGCTGCTAAATCCCCTTTTCGCCTATTGGCCTCGCATTCAGATTTGTTTCTTTTCCTCTTACAGCTTCTCAGGCCGTCAGCAAGAGACTCACCCCAGCACAGTGCTGGCAGCTGGGTGAAACAGGCTGGCTGCAGCCACCACGCTGCACCCGCAGCATCTGCCTGGACATGGTGGGACACCAGGACAGTGGCCTCAAGGGCTTGGCATGGCACCCACAGTGTCTGCAATCATCCCTTGGTGGCTTTCCAGCCATCATCAGGGTGGCCCAGGCAGTGCAGCCCACTCAGGGAGCTGCTTTGTGAGCAGCATGCTGTAGCTGGCTTGATACAAATACCACTAGGTTGAGGTTTTTTTGTTTGTTTGTTTGTTTGAGATTTTGTCTTTGTGTCCAGATCTGAGACTAAAGATTCTCAGGTTGACAACTCAAACCTGAGACTTCACGTGAGAAAGCCTGTGGCAGCAAGAAGCTTCAAATGAATTATTTCACTCTGGGGCATGAAAGAGTTAATGCAAAGCAGGAAATATTTCGGAGGAAATGGGTGCTTCTTCGCAACGAACATTTCATCCAGCTCTGCTGAGGGCAATGCCATTACCTGGCTCTGGGCCCTTTTTCTGCCTGACACTTGGGAGGAGCAGGACATCCCAAAAGGAAACCTTGTGATGGAGCTCAAGGAAACTCCATGCTTTCGTTGTTAATTGCAGCATTGCCACTGCTGGGGTGTGGAGGAAAAAAACATTTGCCGCAATTAATTAATTCTGCCTGTTCAGCCGACCCGGTGGCGGCAACACCTCACCCAGGCAGCGTTCAGATGACCGGGAGATGTTTTGGAAAAGCCAAATCCTGCACCAAAGCCGCAGGAGCCCTCCCCCCGAGGGTTCCCACCCGAGCAAACCCCGCGGGCGGCGGCTGCCGTGAGCATCGCCGGGCACGAGGTGTCACCGGGGAGCCGGGAGGAGATGTTTTGGTTCCGTGCGGGGAAAAACGGGGGCTGGCAAACCTAACGGGGAGAGGGGAGGTGCAACGGTGCCCGCCGGCCGGTCCCCGGGAGCTGCGGGGTGCGAGGGCCGGGCACCCCCCAGAGCCCCTCTGGGGGGCACCCGGCTGCGCAGAGCCGACCGAAAACCCCAGGACCCTGACCCAGCGAACTGGGGGCTCGGCTGAGACCCCCAAACCGTTCACAAGCAGCCCAGGAGGAGTAAGCGCGGGGGCTCGCGATGCCACCCGCCCCGTGCGCGGTGCCCCAGCTCTGAGATCCCACCCCAGGTCCCCCCTGCGGAGGAGGCTCCGTGGGCTGGGCACACCGCAGGCTGCTCGCGGATGGCTGCGAGGGGACGGGGACCCCTTTTGGGGGACCCTCGAGGCTCCCTTTGGCCCCACACCGCTCTCCAGAAGCTGCTCCCGAAGGGACGGGGCCCCACCCGGCTGTGCCCCCCCTATCCCTCCGACCCTTCCCAAGGGGACGCGGCTCCCTTAGGGCCATCCCCGTCCCTGCACGGCTCTCCCCCGACCCAGGGCTGGCCCGGGGAGACACCGGGGCTGCGGAGCCGGAACGCGGGGCGGAGCGGCGGCCCCGCAGCCCCGTTGCCGGCGGGAGCCCGGCGGGGCGGCGCCGGGCGGGCGGTACTTAAGGCGGCGGGGCGGGCGGGCGGCACCGCCGGGCCATGGTTCCGCGGAGCGCCGTGCGGGCTCTCTGCGCCACCGCAGCCCCCCGGGGCGCCCCCCGTTCCGTGCCCGGGGCCACCCCGCCGCCGGCCACCGGTAGGGGTCGGGGTCCCCGGTCCTCGGGTCCCGGTCCCGGTTCCCGGCCGGTGCCTCCTCCGCCGCCCGCCGTGGATTTTGGGGACCCCCGGGAGGCGTTCCGCAGCAAGAGCAGCGCCGAGCTGCTGCGGGGGCTGCTGGTGCTGGGGCTGTGCGCCGTGGAGCCGCTGGTGGAGCACAACCGGGAGGTGGGTACCGGGCCGGCTGCGGGGTGGGGCGGGGCGGGGGATGCCGGAGCCGACCCGGGGGTCCCCTTGAGGGTTTTTTTTGGGGGGGGGGGGGGTGTCGGAGCCCGGCGCTGAAGCTGCCGTGTCCGTGTATCCCGCAGCTGCTGCAGCTCGGCCGGCGGGTGCTGGGCCGGGCGCTGTTCGAGCGGCTGATGAAGATGACCTTCTACGGGCAGTTCGTGGCCGGGGAGGACCAGGAGGCCATCAAGCCGCTCATCCGCCGGAACCGAGCTTTCGGCGTGGGCGCCGTGCTGGATTACAGCGTGGAGGAGGACCTGGGCCCCGCGCCGGCCGGGCGCCAGCCGCAGCCGTGAGCGCGGGGACCGGGGCGGCGGCGGCGGGCGCGGGCGCGGGTTTTGGCTGAGCCGCTATTGGCTGAGCGCGCCCATCCCCCTGCTCCCATTGGCTGCGGCGCGCGGGAACCCGCGTGCGTCACGGCCCCGCCACCCGACGGGGGCCTCGTGCCCCGACGCGCGCTGCTCCACCCCCCCCCTCCCCGCCCCGTCCCGGAGCCTTATCGCCCCGCCGCAGCCCGGTGCTGTTATCAGGGAGCGGCTGGCTGCGGGGGGGGCTGGCGCTTGGCGAGCTGCGGCTGGGCTCTGCTGGCCACGCCGGAGCAGGTTTTGGGGGTGGCGGGCACGGGACTGCTGTCCCCGGGGGTGTCCCCCCGGGGGGGTGCTGCTGCCGGTGCATCCCGCACGGGAGGCTCTGCCAAGCCCTTGCTGCCGCGGTGTCACCGTGCCCGATTTGTTCCAGCAAATGGACGAGGCGGGGGGGAGGGAAAAATGGCAAAAATGGCACGCAGGCGCTCAGCCTCGGGTGTCGGCGCAGGGCACCGTGCCCCGCTCAGTGGGCAAAGCTGTTGCTCTGCTTGGAGGTGCGGAACTGGAGGTGTCAGGCTCAGGAGCTGCTTTCTTCCCGCATCTGGGTGTTTCGGGGCTTTTCCAGCGCAAACCAGCTGCAGCCGGCAGGTTTCTGGCCACCTGATGCCATCTGCTGTTTGCTGAGCTCCTGTGCAAAAAGCTGTGCAGGGCCTCCAGCACAGCCTGCTCCCCTGCAGCCAAGCTGGAGATAACCGAGTGGAAATGCCTCAATGCCTCGCTGCCCCAGCAACGGGCTGTGGCTGCTCCTTGCAACCGGTTTTCCAGCTGGGAACAGAAGCATGCGGGGGGGCGGGCACCCGCTGAGCCTGTGCCCCTGCATGCCTTGCACAGGCTGGGTCCTGCAGCGCCTGGGCTGGCATCCAGCGCTCCGCCAGCTTGTCACGGGTGTCCTTGGCCCAGTGCTCAAGGCGCGAGTAGCAGAGCTGCAGCCAACTCACGGTGACGCAGCTGGAGAAAGGTCCCCTGCAGGCAGCACGGCCTGATGCTGTGCCCGTTCCCATGGGCTTTGGGATGGGGTCCAGCCCCTAGTAGGGCACGGGTGGGCAGGGACTTTGCTTCCCATGGGAAGAAAGGAAGAGCCCCCCCCTCCCATCGTGGTGCTGCTCGTGGTCCCCTTGAAGCCTCCAGCCCATTCGCTGGCCCACGGCCACCCTGCACCAGGAGCTGGGCTGTGGCTGTGCTAATGTGGGCAGGGCCCCTCCTGCCGCTGCAGCAGAGGCTCCCTGAATGCTTCTGGGCTCCCCGAGTGTCTGCAGCATCCCCACCATGCTTAGACTTTGCTTCCTCTAGAGATTCCTTGTGTGAACCACTGGTATCTGCCCCAGCACAAGATTATGAACCAGCCTGGCCAATGAGCCACCCCAAAACACCTCATCCCCTTATCCTCCAACTCCCAGTGCTGGTGCCGGGTGCTGCACCAGGGTGTGCTGTGGGTGCTGGGGGGCACAGGGTGCTTTCTGCTCCACCTGAGGATTTGAACTGATGCTGTGCAGGGAGGTGCTGCGGCAGTCCTGCTGTTTGCTGGCAACTTGTGTGTGGGGCAAGCTTGGAGGACTTTCTGCCAAGTGCTTTGCTTGATTCCTAGCTACATGTCGTTAGACCTCACCAGTAGTTTGAGTGCGGGCTTCCCCTAACCACAAGGCTTGCCTTTCATGTGGTAATTGAGGAACGACTTCTCCCTCATCCCCTCTGCCAGACCCATCTCCTACTGATGAGCAAAGCAAATAGGCTGGGCTCGTGGTAACCTCCAGGGTGAAATGGATTATCACCTCCTTATTTCTGACATGGGGAACTTTTTGTGCTTTTCCTGAGACAACTTACTTGAGCCTGATCAAAAACTTACTGAAAGCCTGAGTCTCCTGTGTCAGCCACTTTACCTGTGCACAGCAATCCACAGACAGGTTTTCCCTGTGCTACTGCACTGATTCTTCCTTGTTAAAGCAGGATTGCATGCTCTTGCTTTCACACTTCTCTTCAGATTTGGTCTTGGGACCTTCTAAAGTTGAAAGTCACATTTGCTCGCAGCTGAGGCCGAGGTGACCTGCATCTGCCTTTGCATCCCTCTGGAGCTTTCTTCATCACCTGCTTTGTAGCACACACAGGGCCTGGTTTGTTCTGAGCTCCACAGCATGTGGCTTGTGCGTGGTGGCACCAGCGTGCTTGTCTGGGCAAGTGTGAGCTCCCAGGTCCTGAGCAGGTCTTAGAAGTGGCTTCTTTCCAGCTGCAGCCTGCCGAAAGCATTCGGGCTGTGCTCAGAGATGCTTCCTGCTCTGGGAGGCTTGTGGCCAGGTATAAGCTGACTTCTGCTGGGTTAAGTGGCATCTGCTTCTTGTAGCATTTGCTTCTTGTAGCAACGGCTTCGTTAGCCAAGACTAATATTGCAAAGAAAGCAGATGATACCCAGGAAGAGCTATTTCTTCAGCTGGAAGGAGCCTCCTTTATTTTGTTTGATGCAGAACAATAAAATGAGCACCATGGCACTGTTTTGAATGCCCCCCTCGGGGGTGATGGGCTCGATGCAGTCATGCAGCAGGAATGCTGCTGGAAAGGGTGTGTTTGTCCTTAGGAATACAAAACACTCCAAATTCAAGAGTGTTTTCTGCTAATTAAGTTGCACAGGGCAGGAGAGCTTTGTTCCTGCTGCTTGTCCCCAGCACCTCAGATGCCAGAGCAAGGTGTGCTTGGGGCTTCAGAGCCTGCTTCAAGGGGATCTTTCAGCTGACAGGGGCTTTGCTACCGCATCCCATCCCTCAGCACATGATGTCTCCTCTCCTTTCCTTCTCTCACCCTTCATATTCAGGGGCAGCAAGTTTCTTGACCTGTCATCCTAGGGGCATGCCCAGGCATGGAGCAGAGACTTGAGGGCACAACATGTTGCAGCGCAGCACCCACAGATCCCCACGAGCTCTGGCTGTGTCTGCCCTGGCTCACACTGAGGCTTTGCTGCACAGTGAGCAAAGCAAAGCTGCTCCAGGGAGCCTCCAGCCGGACGGAAGGGCTTTGTCTCTGCTTGTTTGTGCTTCCAGCAGCTCCTAATCCCTGTCACAGGGTTTCCACGTGGGTGAGCACGTGTCCCCACTCCCCCGTGGAAGTCCCCTGGCTCGACTCACAGCATATTTCCCCATGGGGCTCCGTAGGGCATGGCCAATTTAGGGGCAGTGACTCCGGGGTTACACAAGGGAGAGATCTCCTGGGAGAAGACAGCTCTGTGCTGCTTTCCAGGGGCTGTCAGGGTTTCCTCAGCAAGACCGCTGTCTGCAGGCTGGATTTAGGGTGTCAGAGAGGAGGTTTAGCTGCTTGAGCTCCAGGAGGAACTCATGACTTGGCCGGCACTAGCATGGGCTGTCAGAGCCCTTTATCTCCGTGGCAAAGGGCTTGGGCTTGAAATTACATCCGAGGTTGGCTGGAGCCAAAGCTGGGGCCGTGTTTGGAAGCTGTTGACTAACACCAAGGTGCAGAGGAGCGGGACAGCTGAGCTGCAGCAGGGTTTCTATGGCTTGATGCAAGCCGCTCTGAAAGAGCTCCTCGGTTTGTGGTCTGGCTGCTGGTGCCTGTGAGACAGGAGGTGTTCGGATGAGGTTTGGAGATGGAGCACCAGTGCTGACTCTGTCCTTGCCATGGGGTGGGTGTCCTCAACCACAGCTGGCTTGGGTGTGCTGAGAGCAGCTCTGGACCCAGGGTCAGGGCATCCTCCCTGTGCTCCTCAGGGTCCCCAGGTAGCACTTGCCTGGATGCTGAACCCCGCTTGTTTTCCATGAGAGGATCTGGGGCAACTGAGCTGCCAACAGAGCTTATGCTGAGCAGCATTTGATCCACTGGTGATGGGATGGCAAGGGAAGAGCAGGGTCCAGCACCAGGCTGGCAGCAGGGGAGCCCTGGAGCTGCCCTGGCCACCAGCGTGGGGCTGCGAGGGGTTGCTGACCTGGCCCTTATCTTCCCTGTTTCTCTTCTTAGCTCCTGCACCTCTGCAGCCGAGAAGGAGAGAGGAGGTGAGTGACCCAGCCTCTCCTGCCCACAGGAGATAGCATCTGCCAGAGCATCCAGCCGGTCCAGGCACCACGGGCCTGGCATGGGGGAAGGGCCCAGCTCCTACGTGAGCTGAAGGAGGAACACGAAGGTCCTCAGCCAGCCCCATTTCTCAGCAAAGGCTGAGCTCCCGCTCAGTCAGCAGAGCAGGGAGGGCACATTGGGGTGTCTTTGTGGGCTCCTGTGAGGTCCAAGGCAGGTTCCTTCACCCCTGAGCCCATGGCAGGAGCTTCCCAGGGAGGCTGGCAGGACTGGAGGCAACACAGGGCCTACATGGCCTCTCTCTGGCCTCTTCCACCGCAGGAGCAGAGCAGAGGGAGAAGAAGCAGCACCATGCCCACCGTGGATCTGGCAGTCACCGCAACGGGGTCGCCAGCCCCCGCACCTATTTCTATGCCGATGAGGCCAAATGTGACCAGCACATGGAGACCTTCCTCCGCTGCATCGATGCCTCAAGTAAGCCCTTGGTGTGTCCTCACAGTCCTGGGGACTGCAGGGACACCCACACCCCCTCCTGTCCCCCTGGTGTCCTGGCCGGCTGTGCCATGGTGGCTCTCTCCAGGTGGCAGCTCAGAGGACGGCTTCTCAGCCATCAAGCTGACGGCGCTGGCAAGGCCTCAATTCCTGGTGAGTGTCCCTCGGTGTCAGGGCTGTGGATGATGTGGGTGCTGGACATGATCCCTCAGAGTCTTGGCACGGCAGAAGGCTCCGAGCTGTGCAGCTCACCCAGGGTCCTGCCCCTACAGCTGCAGTTCTCGGAGGTGCTGGTGAAGTGGCGGCGGTTCTTCCACCAAATGGCCGTGGAGCAGGGCCAGGGTGGGCGGACAGCACTGGAGATGAAGCTGGAGGTGGAGAAGCTGCAGGTGAGCGGGCTGATATCCAAGGGATGTGCTGCTGGAGGTGGCCCTGGAGGTCCTCGGAGCAACCCTGACCTGTGACACCTCTGCTGGGGTCTGACATCTCCTTGGCACTGATGCTCCTCTTGGTGGCAGGAGGCCCTGGCCAACCTCGGCATCGCGACCAAGGCAGAGAGCCAGCACTGGTTGACGGGCGAGAACCTGGGTGCGAGCGGGTAAGCTGTCCCTGACCTGCAGGGTGTTGTGGGGTGGGGGCACTGGGGGACCTGGGCCAGCCTCACTGTGTCCCTGTGACAGCTGGGCAGCAGCAAGGGGAATTCTTCAAAGACCAGCGCTGGCCTGGCGCAGAAACCAGGGGCTCTGAAAGCAGAGGGTTTTTTTTGTTGGAGGTGACAAGATGGGTCGGGGTGCCTCGTGCAACAGGCAATGGTTTGCTGGTGAGACTGGGAGATGGTAGAGACCCCCAGAAGTCACCAGCATGGACCTGGCTTCCTGCTCACAGCACCGTGGACCTGCTGGCCTGGAACAGCCTGATCGACAGCCGCACCAAGCTCTCCAAGCTGCTGCTCATCCCCAACATGAAGGTGGGTACACACTTTGGCCAGGCTATGCCCCCAGTGCCAAGAAGCTGGTGGTGGGGGACAACAGGAGCATCTGTGCTGGCTGGAGGGGCATTTGGGGGGCACAGGGTGTGTGTCTGCTGTCCCCAGGCTCTGCATGGCTGGTGGAGCAGGCAGCCTGCATGCTGCAGTGGTCGGGGGATGCTGAGTTTGCAGAAGGACTGGGGGTGAGCTTCCCAGGGCATTTGTCTCCCATGGGCAGCTCCTGGAGTGCTGCTCCCCAGGCAAGCCGGTGAACGAGCTCTTCTCACTTCAGACCAGGCAGCTCGAGCCTCTGTTCTCACACTTCACCGAGGAGGAGGACCAGCAGATGAAACGGATGCTGCAGCGGATGGACATCCTCGCCAAGGTCTGAGGAAGCTGGGGCTGGGTGCCACTGTGGAGGGGGGGGGGAGACACGTGGCAGGTGGCCCCAGCAGCCCACCCTGCATCATTCACCCACCAGAGAGCCACGGAGACGGGCGTGAGGCTGATGGTGGACGCAGAGCAGAGCTACTTCCAGCCAGCCATCAGCCACCTCACCCTGGAGATGCAGCGCCGCTTCAACAAGGAGCGGGCAATCATCTTCAACACCTACCAGTGCTACCTGAAGGTGAGGGCTGGCAGAAGTTGTGCAGGCTCTGGAGCGCACAGTAGGGAAGGGACCTGCTGGAGCAGCTGGATGAGCACCTTGGTGATGCTCTGGTCCATTTGGTGTGATCCTGGGGCTGGCTCGTGGCACTGATGTGATGAGCCTATGCTGTCTCTGCCACCTCCTCCCAGGAGGCTTACAACAACGTGACTGTGGACGTGGAGCTGTCACGCCGGGAGGGCTGGCACTTCAGCACCAAGCTGGTCCGCGGCGCCTACATGGAGCAGGAGCGGGAGAGAGCAGCAAAGTTTGGCTATGAGGATCCCATCAACCCCACTTATGAGAAGACCAATGAGATGTACCACAGGTAGGGACCTGCCCCAGCCACGCTCCCACCTCCCTCCCCACCAGGTTTGGGCTTGGACACCCTCCCCACATGACCCCACGCTTCCCTGCAGGTGCCTAGACTATATCCTGGAGGAGATCAAGCACAGCCAGAAAGCCAGTGTGATGGTGGCATCTCACAACGAGGACACGATCAAATTCACCTTGCGGAGGTGGGGACTGGCGAGGAGGGGTCGGTGCCTTGCTCTCAAGTGGGATGTGGGGCACGCAGTGGCAGCACGCTGTCTCTGCTCTTTTCCTAACACCAAGGTTTGGCTTGCAGGATGATGGAGCTTGGGATCCATCCTTCAGAGAAGAAGGTCTGCTTTGGGCAGCTGCTGGGCATGTGTGACCAGATCACCTTCCCCCTGGGTGAGTGCTGAAGCTCCAGTACCTGGGAGCAGAGGGGACGTGGCAGATGTGCTCCTGTCCCGTGCTCACCCTGAGGTCTCTTTGACCTGCTGTGGGGTCTGAAGGGCCAGTGGAGCTGGGCTGTGGGCTGTCACAAGGCTGAAGAAGGTTTCTTGTTGCCTGGGCAGAAGTGGTGAAGCCCAGGAGAGGATGGCACTGGCAGAGGAAGGTGCCCTGACCTGGAAAACACTGGGTGCCGCAGGGAGTGTTTAGGGGGGAGACCAACAGGTTTCGAAGCTCCTGCATGAAAGGGTAACCAGAAGAGCTGTGCTGTGGTGGATTAGTCCTCTTCCATGACTGTGTCCATGCTGGGACAGCTGCACAGGGTTATGGAGAGGGAGGGTGTAGATGAGGACTTTTGAGGTAGAGTCCAGTTGAGTGTCCATGGTGGCAGGATGGGGGAATTCCTCCTTCAGGCCACGAGCTGAAATGGGGCTGCTGGTAGATGCTGGTGTGGTGGGAGCCAGAGCTCTTTGCTATGCAGACTGGTTCAGCTGACGCAAGGCTGGTGGTGGCAGGTCCCCCCGTCAGCCACATGCCCAGACCTTTGTTGTGTACCAGGGCCCCTTCTCTGGCCAGCTGTGCTCCTGCACTGCCACCACACCACCAGCTCTGGCACCCAGCGTGGGGTTCCCAGCTCCAGCCCAGGGCTCCTCACATATTCCCTGACACCTGAGGTGACTTTCCCTGCTTCTTTGTGACCCCCGTGCCCCACAGACAGGCCCAGACACAGGCACTCGCAGGTCAGGGCTGATCCCCCCTCCCCATCCCAGTCTCCGGAGCAGGGACCCGAGGCCAGGAGAGCAGCAGGAGGCAGGCCGGGCAGTTGTCCAGCGCGGATGCTGCTCTGTCCTGGAGTTCCCCCAGTACGCAGGGCTTGGCTGTGCGTCTGCGGCCTCCTCTGGTCATGCTGGAAAAATGTGTTAACTCGATGTTTCTGCTTGAATGCTTCTTGAATTGGCCCAGCCCTGGCTGCCGGCATTCCCAGGGCTGCCGGTGACCTCAGGGCTCTCCACCATCCCCTTCTCTTCCTCCAGGTCAGGCTGGTTTCCCCGTCTACAAGTACGTGCCCTACGGCCCGGTGGATGAGGTGCTGCCCTACCTGTCCCGCCGAGCCCAGGAGAACAGGGGCTTCATGCAGAGAGCAAACCAGGAGCGGGATCTCCTCTGGAGGGAGTTCAAGCGACGGCTCTTTGCGGGCACCATCTTCAGCCCCAACCCCTGACCCCCTCCAGCCCCCCAGGAACCCAGTGCTGGGCTCAGTTGGTGCCTGGGGACGGGGCTCTCGTGCCTTCGTGTGTAACCACTAACCCACTAACTTCCTCGTTGCTGTTTTTCCCCTCCTCTGAGGCCTTTGCCTGGGGAGGCGATGTTCTCCTGTTGCTGTTTGAACCCCATCCTCCTTCGGGAGGCCACTACTGTAGGGCTGCCCCAACGGGCACTGCCCCAAGGGACATCCCCTTTGCTGTCCCAGCACTGGGAGCCCAGGGCGAGCAGATCTTCCCCTCCCGGCACATGCTGGTGCTCCCCTGCCAGCCCTTCCCTTCCCCACCAGCCTTGGCTAATATTGTCCTGGTATTTTGCCTTCCGAGCGCAGGGAACAGGGAGGTTTGGCCACCAGCTCCGTGGCACACGTCCAAAGCCCACGGGGCAGCTGAGCTTTCCCCAGCCCTCCCTGGGCCAGAAGAAGGGCCTGAGGACTATCACCGGGCTCCAGCTCTGCAGAAGGTCCAGCAGAGGCTGAATTTAGCAGCATGCAGAGGTGGCTGGGGCACAAGGGGAGCCCTGCTGCCTGCTCACCTGGGGCAAGCCTAAGTTTTTGCCCCATCCTGCTGGGCTGAGCAGAGCCAAAGCTCCCCAAGCTCTCGGTCTCAACCTCTTGCAGCAGCACTGGCCCTGGGGCACACATCCAGAGAGGGAGCAGGAGCCGCCGGGCCCCATCCTTGTGCTGCCCCAAACGCTGCGGGGACGCGCGTGGGGCCGGAGCTGTGCTGTGGGAAGGGGAAATCCGCACAGCTACTGGACACTGGATTTGTCAGAGAAATGGCAATAATTAAAGCGTGGCTGTTCTTGTTACTGCCTCTCCTAGAGTCATCCCCAGGGGGAGCTGCGGAACCGAGCGGGAGGGGCTGGCAGCAGCCGCGGCGGCACCCGGGGGTCCCCCTCGCCTCCCTCGCGGTTCCTTCTCTGAAAGCCCAAGGGGTGAAGGGGGATGTTTAGGCTTCTCAGCTACGCTTGCTTATTGCTTTGTCTCCGTTTTTTTTAATTATTTTTTTTATTAATATTATTTTTTTTAATTTTTTTTTTAATTTTTTTTTTTTGTCTCCTGGTTTTGCCTTTCTGAGCACCCGGAGGGGCAGGCGGCGCGACTACAGGTTGGGGCAGGGGCTCTGGAGCTGCGGGTGTTTAAAAGCAGGGTGCTGGTGCAGGTAGCATCTGGGCTCCTGGGAAGAGAGGAGATGTGATCCCTGCTCCTGACCACCTCTTTGGCCCCTTCTGCTTGTTGTGGAGTGAACGACTTTTGGGATGCACGAAGAAATGGCTCAAGATGCCAAGACCCAAAGCTCCCTGCACCCTCCGAGCCCAGGGATGCGGGCACAGGGAGCAGAAGTTAACTATTGCAAAAGTTAATCGTGCACCTCCAGGCAGCTCTGCAGCACGTCTGGTGCAGGCTGCTGTCTGCAGGGGTGATGGATGCAGGGATGAGGGGTGCAGGGTGCTGCCTGCTCTCTGCACAAGGTGCTGGATGGCCTTGCAAGCCTGGGTGCCGGTGCAACACCCCAAAGCCCTGTGCTCCCAGCAACCTTTACCTATGCTCAGACAGAAGCAGCAACCACCCCTCTTGTTTCTGGGCACAGTGACCTGGCTAAGCCCTCTCTTTATCTCAGGCTTTCACCAGCCTGCCCAGTTTTAGCCCTTGCTGCTGGAAGCTGAGGGAAGGGGAGGCACAAAAATCACTGGGTATGCCCTAGCCTGTGCTGCAGCCCACTCACTTGCAAGGGTGCTGGCTACAGCAGCAGGGGGAGTTGCGAGGGAGAGAGCTCACATCTGTGCAGAAGCCATCTCAGCAGACTTGCACTCAAATGCCGTGAGTGGTCCAAGCACACGTGAGCGGGGATTTCTTCCAAGAAGCAGAGCCTGGACATGTCCCCGCTGGACAGGGACGGGTGCCTTGTTATCGTATGGCTCCCCTGTGGTCCGCTGTGCAGCCCTTCCTGGTGAAACAGCTGCACAGATTTTTGAAACACGGACAAAACAACATATTTTTCCTTCGTTTTTGTGTTTGGAAATACTACAGCGCTGGAGTTTCTTTCTCTCTTTTGCTGTTTTCCAAAACACAGTTCGATGGGAGGCAAGCACCTGGTAGGGCATTGCCAGCCTGAAGTCAGAAAAAGAAACTGTAAACCGTGCTGTAATGGAAAGCATTGAGGTGAGCTTGGAGAGCACCCACACAGCCTGATCTGCTCAAAGGCAGGGGCAAAAACCTCACTGGGACCAGGGGGAGAGCAGCGTTGGTGGAGTGCAGCATGACCCATGGGATGTGCAATCCCCCCATGCCTGCAAAACTCTTCCTGCCTGGTCGGGCAGTACAAGCCAGCCCAGCCCAAGCTGTCCCCAGCACACTGTGAATCCTCCCCCTCCCTGCAGCATCCCCAGCAGCTTCTCCAGCCCCAGGCTCTTGGCCAAGGGACAGGCTTATCCCCCATGCAGAGGTGAGCCACACTGCTGAGAAAAGGGTGGCTTTGGTTAGACCTGGTAAAAATGGAGCAGCACAGGACATTCTGCCTGGAAGAGGAGAGAAAGCTCTTCATGGAAGCCAAGTGAAGAGCCAAAAAGTAAACACATCCATGCACGAAGCAACAGCGTGGAAAATGCGTGGCGGTGAGTGTCTCCTTTGGCTTGTCAGGAGCGGGGCCAGGGAGCACCAGCCCCACTCGGCACAGAGCAGAGGTAATGGAGAGAGCAGATAGGAAGGGAATCCCAGCCATGGAAACAGCCGGAGCGAGGCTGAAGCTCCAGGGGGGGCAGGCTGCCAGGGCAGGCAGGGGGCTGCCAAGCCCAGCTTCCTGCTGCAGCACAGCTGGCGGTGCCACGGGCTGGGCTGGGCACAGTAGCAGCCAAGCCTGGGGGGCAGCATGAGCCCCCCTGCACCCCTCAGGAAGCATGGAGCAGTGTCGGAGCTTCACAAGCTCATCCCTTGGAGCTTCACAAGACAAGGAGAAGTGAATGAGCAGATGGTGCAGCCTCTGTGCCAGTGGCTTCATGGATCCGTGCACCTCTTGACCACCCTTTTCTGGAGCAAGCCCCCCTCCCCAGTCCTTTTTCCCAGCCAGGAGGTGATGCTGAGCTCACTCGGTGCAGAGCATTCATCCTGAGGGAGTCCCTTGTGCCTCGGCACGGCCAGACCACTGCTGTCTCATCACTCCTGCCTGGCCAAAGGGACCAAGTGCCAGGCGGTGCTGGGTGCCACCAGACAGACCCTGCCCGCAGGATGGGGCAGCTGGGGCAGCTGGACATGGTGGCAGAGTCACCCAGGCAAGAGATACTGGAGCCCAGCAACACAGCGTGGGGACGGGAATGGGGGCACGTGAAAGAGGAGAGGGTGGCAAAGAGGGGAGAGGGAGGGATGTGCTATGATCACCAGCCTGTTTGAAAACTAAGGTCTGGGAGGGAAAGTCGGTGGGTCACAGCAGGTAACCCCCAGGGAGATGGGAGATAGTTTCTGGACAGATGGATGGAGAGAGCAGGAGGGAGCTGAGTGTTGCTCAGGAATTGTGCCCCCCACGTTTATTGGGATTTAACTGCCTAAGAGCATGGTTTCCACTGGTAAGACCACCGGGGACTTCCCTGTTGGGAACTTCTGTCTGTGCGGACTTGAACAGGACAGAAACCTTCCATGCACGCCAGTCCCATGAACTACAGACATCAGAGGAGGCTGGTGGCGAGAAACTCTTCATCCACCCTTTGCTTGGTGACTCCCTAATCCTCACCTGAAGGATGCTGCCTAACCCATGCCTCATCTACAGGGGATCCATTCCCTGCATGGGGAAACCGTGTAGGTGCGTGGTCCTGGCACCCAGCTCTGCAGATGTTCCGTACACCATTACATAGCCCCTTGGACACAACCAGCACTCAGCAGGAGACCGATGCAGTGATTAAACCGAAGAAATTGATTTGACTCCCCGGGAAGCTGAGCTCGCAGAGAGCAACAGCACTGCTGGATCATCAAGTGATGCCGTGCAACAAGCGTGCTGCTACAACCTGCGTCTGTGCTGCCTTGTGGCAGGTGGCCGGGGTGTTCCCCCATCCATGCCAGGGGTGTAAATCCTACAAGTGCCTGCGTGTCCCCCGGGTTCCTGGTTTTATTCTTGCAGCGGGTTAACGAGTGGCTGCCTAGGCCCTGCAGACACCGCTTGGCTCCCGCGGGACAGCCAAAAAGCTGCCTTGGGGGGCACTGAGCACCGGGGGCTGCCGGACCCCGGGGACACGGGACCCTGCGGCTGTGCCGGCCCCGGGGCGAGCCAGAGCCGGCCAAAGCTGGACCCCCGGGCCGAGCAGGGAGAGGGGCAGAGAACTCCGCAGCCTCTCCCCTTCGGAGACCCCCACCGCCGGCTCGGCGGAGCTCTCAGCCCGCACCCCCGGCGCCGTCGGGGCGCGGGGCCGGCCCCGGGGCGGTTCTGCCCCGCGGCGGGCGCTGAGAAGGCGGCGGCGGCGGCGGCCCCCGGAGCCTGGCCCGCCGTCAGGGGAACCAATGCGGAATTTCCTGGCTGGCGGCGGGGCCCCTCCTGCCGCCGCCGAGAGGGGCGCGGGGGAGGCGGCGGCGCGGAGCTCGCAGTGAAGCTTCCGCCTGCCCGAGCTGCGGCCAGGGCAGGGCAAGGCAGGGCAGGGCAGGGCAGGGCAGGGCGGCACCGGGCACAAGCGGAGCCGGGACATCTCGCCCCCCCCTCCCCAGGGCCGAACCGGGCCGGGCTGGGTCGGGTTCCGCAGCACCGACGGCCATGGAGGCCCGTGGGCTGCGGCCGCTGCGCCGCGCCCGAGCTGGAGCTGGAGCTGCGCTGCTGCTGCTGCTGCTGCTGCTGAGCTGCGGAGCCGCGCAGGAGCTGAGCCCCCGAGGCAGGAACGTCTGCAGGGCCGGCGGGTAGGAGCGGCTGGCGGAGGGGCAGGTGGGGAGGGGGCAGCGGGAACCCCCTCCCCGAGGGGTAGGGTCGGGCCGCGGGGCGCTGCGGGGCGCTGCGGGGGGACCGCTCCTCTCCGCCGGGCGAGCCCCGGTCCCCGGAGCCTTCCCAAGCTTGCGCCGGGAGGTGGAGGGGAAGGGGCGATGAGCACGGTCCGAGCGCGGGGGGGACGGTTTTGGGTGTCCCGGGGTCGGTTCTGCGGTGGGGAGCCGGTGCTGAGTGTTGCAGGGGGTGGAGAGCACCGCAGGGGGTCCCCACCCCCCCGGGCCTGGTGCTGCTGGCAGGATGCGGGATGCTGCGGGCGTCCCGGTGGAGCTGCCCCTTGGTGCTCGGGGTGGGTGCGTTGGCAGCTCCAGGACACTTGGGTTTGGGTTCGGAGGGTGGGTGCTGGCACCGCCTGGCTCTCCCCAGAGGTTGCATCCTGCTTGCTCGGCCACAGGCTGAGTCCTGGGGATGCCACAGCCTCTTCCCCGCTCCCACTGTGCTCCGCATACCGTGGACACCACGGGTCGCTCTACAGAGCATCACCTGGGGCCGAGCTTTGCGGTGCTCGGGCTTGGTGCTGGCCCTCGTAGCAAAGGGGGAAGAGCGCCCAGAGCTGCTCCATCCTGCGAGAGGAGCAGGATCCCCAGGCCCTGCCCTTTATGGGGGGCCCCGGCTATAAATGCACCTTTACATCTCGCTCGTGAGGTCAGGCGAGTCCACAAGGAAAACATGTGCTGCGAGCTAGAAGGGGCCGCATAATGGCTCCATTCAGCAGGGCCGCAGGGCGCTGGTGCCCCCTCCTCAGATTACAGGCCGAGTTTCCTAAGGAGGCTTTTTCACGAGCCAGCGCGGCCGCAGCTCCCAGCCCCGTGCTGTTCTTCAGCAGGGGGATTCGATGGGTCTCTCAGCGGGCCTTTCTCGGGTACCCGTGACCCCTGAGGCCGGTACCCTACAAAACTTGCCCCCAGCAGAGGGGCGGCGAGCAGTGATCCCTCGGTTCCCGGCATCCTGGGGCTGGTGCTCATGTGTGCACAAGCTGTGTGCATCCTCTTCCCCCAGTCTGCAGGACGCAGAGCCAGGGCAGCCTGCAGCACACGATGTCCCCATCCCAATGCAGCTTGGTGGCCCCGGAGACCTGAGGCAGGTGATGCAGGTCCTACCACATACCCGGAGCTGGGAGCAGCGGTTCCAGGCGACGCTTGGAGAGGTGCCCGAGTCAGCCTGCGCACCGAGCCACCGGGTTTTGGTGTCCAATTTTTCCCCCCTCCCCCAGCTCAGCTTTCTTAGGCATTTGAATTCATTCAAGCTGCTGCTTTGACTCCTTGCCACGCGTTTCTCTGGGTGGTTGTGCGAGTGCCGGGCTCTGCCGAGCGTGTCCAGGCACCCCTCGGCGCTGGGGGTTCTACTTCAGCATCCCACTGCAAGCTCCGGAGACCTGGCTAGTGGGCAGCGATTCAAAGAGTCACTTAGGGCAGGAGAAAAGTGTTTTGGAGCGACTTGGTTTTGTGTACCAAATGTGACTGCTCCTCTTAAATTTGAAGCTCTTTTGTAAGCTGTTAACTTTCAGCATGACTCTCCCTGTAGCTTGAGATGCAGGGGTGCAGGGCTGGTGAGAGCAAGCCCTGTGTACATGGAAATTCCTTTGCCTTGACCTCCTCTCTCCAAAACTCTCCTTTGGTTTTTATTTTATTTTTTCATTTCTTTCTCTATGCGAAGGGTTTCCTTTCACATAGGCTCCCACAACTGCGCCGAGGCATTACCTGTCTGTGCCTGCACCTCAAGGCCGGTGGTTTCTGGCAGGAGTCAGGTCGGGGAGCTGCAGGGATGTCCCAGTCCACCGTGGATGAGCCTGTCTGGGGCCTGGCAATGCTGCACAGGGTGGCACCGAGTGGTGGGTAACAGAAAAAGAGGGCTCAGTGTTGGGGTGATGTGCTCCTCCCCAGTTTGGGCAGCAGTGTGCCAGCACTGGTTTGGCTGGGGGAGGTGGCAGTGGTGCTCTGGGCTTTGGGATTTGCAGCTCCCGATCCTTGCTGATGCTCAGCTCGTGCAGGATGCTCAGCCAAAAGCTCAGCATGATGCGGGATGCTCAGTGGGATGCAGCTGTGTCCCAGGGAGCAGGGGCAGCCCTGGCTCTGCCTCCATCTGCGCTCCTTTTCCTCTGCGTCAGTGAAATCTCCGTGAGCCAGCCACATCTCACGGGCAACGTCTTCTTCCTTTTCCCAGCATTTATAGCACTTTGAGGAAAGGAAAAATATAATGAAGCCCAGAGCACTTGCTTGCTCAGGGCATGTCTGTGCTGGTACGTCAGTTTGGGTCAGGAGCAAGTTTTTAAACAAATTTCTCAGTGGTCCCGCTTTGAGCAGTTGTGGGGCACAGGGACTGAACCCCCTTCAGAGGAGACAAAGCCATGAGGCACGTTTCGGAAACACATCCCAATAACCCACGGGTTCAGGTCATCTGCCACCAGCACGGGGCTGGATCCAGTCTGAGGGCTGCACTGGGAGCACCAGATACCCAGTGCCACGTCCCGTCTACCTCTCCTCACCCCATTGAAACCATAGGGCTGCGGGTGTGCTGCAGGGTAGCCACGCTTGGAACCAGAGGGACTTTTTGCTGACCGTGTGGGGAGGGAACTGGAGCTGTGAAACACGAGCGTATTTATTTGCTGTCGGAGCAGCTGATAAATGAGGGGAGGCTGAGCACGGAGGTGTTGGATACCACGGCCAGGCACAGCGAAGGAGAGATTAGCTATCTGTTAAAGGACAGGCTGTAATCCTGGGCGTGGGGTGCGGGATGGGTTGCGGCTGGCGGGGTCGGGGTCCTGCTCGTGGCAGAGGGAGGCGTCTTCCCTGCTGCTGCCTGGCTTCGGTGTCAGTTCAGGGCACTGGGGGCTGCTTGGCCAGGGCCCCCCCAGGTGTTTTGGTGCATCCAAGGATGCAGCTGGGTTGCTGGAGGTGCCCAAGTGGCTGCGGGTTCCTGGAGGGCTCCCTGTGGCAGGAGGGGGGAAGCGAGGAGCTTTGGGGTGCGCATGGGGAGGAAGGGGAGGGCAGTGGGGATTCCCCTAGTGGGGAGTTTCCCCTTGTGGACTTGAAACTGTTTTCACTAGGAAAAAAACACCAGACACTGGATTTCTAAAGGCAGGGAAGCGTAGGGCAGGACAATCCCTGGTCAGCCCCGCTCCTGTCTATCACAGCACGATGAATTTCAGCCTGTTGTGCTGGAGCAGAGCCCGGTAGCTCGCTCAGGGCCGTCTTGTAGGGAAGAATCTCGCCTCGGGCCCACCCGGTCCCTGGGGAGTTGCTTTGGGTAATGCCCCCACCACCTCTCCTTGCATGCTCAGCCCCACGCTGCTGCTCCCGCCGGGGGCAGAGACCCTGCTCGAGCCCCGGGGTCCCCGCGGGGAGCGCCGAGCCCGCTGCAATCGCAGCGCCGTGTAATCTCTTTGACGGACTAAATAGATGGAGCTATTTTGGTCTCCAGCTGCAAGGCATTTTTTCCAGGCCCTGAATCATTTTTGTGGTTCCTTTCTGCCTCCTGTCCAATTTTTCAACATCCTCTGCACAAGGCGGACGCGGTGCTCCTGCGTCCGCGTGCGGTGCTGCCCGCGCAGGGCTTGGCGTTGCCTGGCTCGGGGGGGGGCTGAGCTCAGCCTCTGCCTTGCGTGGGTTTTGCTGGGGGCTGCCCTCAGCCCCACCAGCCTGGGACAACTCATTCTGGCAGCCAGACGCGGTCCTGTGACTACGCTGGGTTTCGAGCGAATACTTCCTTGCTGTCTCCTCCTCCTCTTCTGCATTTGTTACATATAAAGGGAAAAAAAAAAAAAAAAGGAAAGAAAGAAAAAAAAAAAAAAAACACATTCCAGGCTCTGTCGTTCATTGCTGGACCAACCCGAGCAAAGTTTCCCTCGACTGCAGCGTGCTTTTGGCCTGCTCCTAAACCTCCAGGGTCGCTTCCACCTCCAGCAGGGACTGGGTGGCTCACGCTGAGCATTGGCCAAGGTGCGTGGGGCTTCCTCCAGGATTGCCCATGTTCCCAGTAACCCCCAGTATGGTGGCCTCTTGCTGGTTCTGGGGACAGGGAGCACCTTTTCCACGTGTCTTCCCTATACCTGAGTTGCATCAGTGTGTACTGCCCACCACGGGAGGCTTGGAAATAGCAGCCCTGGTTTGACTTGAGCCTGCACCTCGGATGGCATCCCTTGCAGACATCTCCGCACCTCCAAGAGGGCTCTGAGCCCCTGTCCCTGCATTGCGTTGGGTCAGGCCTCTGCCAAAAACATTTTAGCTGCTGCAGCTGCTGCCTGGTGCTGTGAGACCTGGGGACACTGGGGGTCTGATATGAGGGCTCTGCACTGGGATACCCAAGGCTCAGGGACCTGTCCCAGCCTCCGTGGAGCAGCTGGCGGTATTGCTGGGCTCCTACATGGGGCTGAGCAAGCAACATTTAGTGATGCTCAGAAAGCTGGCACAGCTGGAGCCCCAGGCTTGCAAGTGCTGCAGGTATCCCCAGCCGTGCCCTGCTGTAATATGTCCCCCCCGTGCCGCACACCCCTGGGGAGCCCGGTGCAGAGGGCAGCGGGGTGCACGCAGGCAGTGCTGCTCTGAGGATCTGCCCCCTGTGCTAATCCTAAAACAAGCCATGTTGTAAGAGACTCTCCCAGAGCAAGGAGGTTTGCAGGAGCTCCTCACTTTCCAGCAATGAAACCTGCTGCTGGGGCTGGGTGGGGAGAGGAGCAGTGGCAGAATGGGGGCTGTGGGACCAGGCAGAGCATCCTTCACATCCAAGCACCTCTGGAAGCTTGGCTAGACCCATGGGGCAGAGCTGGTGTTTCTGCCCAGGACCTTTTTCCCAGGTTTGGGGGAGATCTTTTTGTTTGTTTTTAGCTGGCAACATTTGAAGGTGAAGTCTTTGTGCCCCTTGCCAAGCATCTGCACAGCAGAGGATGAGCTGGTGGCTCTCCATGCCTGAAGAGGATGTGGTGGTGTCACCTGCAGGCTGGTGCTCTCATCAGGCTTCCAGGAGGGACAGAAGCTCTCCGGGGAATCCTAATCACTTATATTTACTTCCTGCAGCTCCTCGGTGCTCGTGTGCTGTTCGGGATGGAGGCAACAAGGAAGCGAGTGTTTGATAGGTAAGCCCCAGCATTTTGGCTCGTTAGATGCTGCTGGTCTGCCCGACCTTTGCTGAGTCCTCCTGGCCATGCCTGGGGGCTCTGGAGCTGTGCAGCGCTCGGAGCCTGCCCCCAGCTCATCTTGTGCCAGCAGGCAGCGAGTGCCCGGCTCCGGGCTGCCCTTGTCCCCGTGGTGCTATCCCCTGGGTGCCATCCCCCAGCAGGGTCTGCAGGAGCCTTGTCCCCAAGCTGGGGTGCAGCTCTGGGATGCAAGGGTCCACAAAGTGTCCCCAAGGGCTGAGCTGACCATGGAGGGACACGGACAAGCTGGGCTCCCACAGGTGCTGCCGCAGCGCTGGAGCCAGGGCTGCTGGCAGAGGAAGAGGATGAGGTGCAGAGGGTCCCTGCCAGCACTGGTGCCACCGAGCCCACCAGCTGGGAGCCAGGACCATGCCTGGCATCACAGCTCCCACCGTGGGCTGTGGTGAGCCTGGCGCAGGGCTGCTGCAAGCCGTCAGCCTTCTGCACCACCGCCACGCAGGAGGTTTGGGGGATGCCGTGTTCTTCCCCGCGGTTTTGGCTGGCTGCAGCACTCCCCCTTTTTGCCCTGGCGCTGCAGTCAGAGCCGTGCATGCTGGCCCAGGGAGGCAGTGGTTTGCAGACCACGTAACCGACTAACTCACCCTGCACGCGCCCCGTAACCGCTCGCTGCATGCGGCCGGTGCCTGCACTTGGCGGACGGGACACGGGGAGAAGGAGATGGGGTCTCCCCGGATGGCAGAGGGAGGACGGTCCCGCAGCAAACTGTCCCCCGCCTCCTCTTCCCCCCTTTTCCCCTCGACCTGTTCTAACCGTTAGACTCACTTCTCCTAACCTGTTTAATCTGTCTATTTTAGGGTTTTCTATAGTATCCATCACCGTAGGTCTAAGAACTGCCAGGTAAGGCGGATTGTGCGGGTTCTCTGCTCTCCCTCTCCACTGGCTGAGGAAGCTCTGTCAGGGCGATGGGGGTCTCTGCCCATGCCTGCTGGCACGGGGAGACCGCAGCGCATCCTGCCCCTGCCCCCAGCACCCACTCCCCTTGACAGGAGAGGGATTTCTGCAGGCTTTGGGGGGCTGCGGACCTGCCCTGCTGGGGAGCAAGGCACAGGGGTGGCAGTGTCCCCGCTGCAGTCTGCGGGGAGGACGGGGAGGGGGTGTCCTCTGCCGGTGTCTGCCTGCAACCCCCCTACCCCACATCCCGCATCCCACCTGCAGCAGGCTCTGCTGGGGACGTGGAGCTGGGTGCGGGATGCTGGAGCTGGGCAGCAGCAGGAACGGGGCTGAGCTGGGTGGCAGGAAGCCGGTGGCAGGGATGGAGCTTGAGTACGGTGGCAGGGGGCTGGTGGCATCTTTCTGGTGGTGGCCCCAACCAGCCTGCCCAGCCAGGGCCCTGCTAGGACACTTGGTGCAGTGTCACAGCTCTGCAGCCCTCAGAGTGCCACCTCCATGCTGTGCTCCCTGTCCCCTGCTCCGCAGGGTGGGGGACAGGGACAGCAGGGGCAAGCCTTGGTGGCACTTGGTGCCTGAGGCCAGCAGGTGCTGTCGCTGTGCCCGTGCCGTGCCCTCACGCGTGCTGTTATCGGTCCAGCCGTCTGCGAAGGAAACTTCACCTGCAAGGAGAATGAGGTGTGCGTGAGACCCGGCGAGTGCCGCTGCCGCCATGGCTACTTCGGGGCCAACTGTGACACCAGTGAGTATCAGCGGCACCGGTGGTGTCACCCGGGGTGGCCCTGGGGACAAAAGAGCTGGATTGTCCTGGGGTGATTGCGGAGCAGAACACGGCACGGGCTGCCAGTGCTCCCGCTGTGCCTTTGCTGGTCCCCCCCTGGCTGTGTGCCCAGGGCAGCGTCCCTTTGGGTGGGTGACACCCGAAATGCACTGGGAGGTGAGGGGATGGTGGCCAGGAGACGCTGTTCAGGATGGGGCCCCGTGGCAGGGTTTGTCCCGCGGCTGCGTGGGGCTGTGCGCTGCAGCCAAGGCTGACGGCTCTGCTGTCTGTGCGCTGCTCGCAGAGTGTCCCCGGCAGTTTTGGGGCCCTGACTGCAAGGAGATGTGCAGCTGCCACCCCAACGGGCAGTGCGAGGACGTGACGGGCCAGTGCACCTGCAACCCCAACCGCTGGGGCCCCAAGTGTGAGAACGTCTGCCTCTGCAAGCACGGCAAGTGCGACCAGAAGACGGGCAAGTGCACCTGCGAGCCGAACTGGTGGGGCCCCCAGTGCTCCAGCTCCTGCTACTGCAGCCACAACTCCCAGTGCGACCAGCAGACCGGGAACTGCCTGTGCCAACCGGGCTGGTGGGGCCGCGGCTGCAACAACCAGTGCTCCTGCAACAACTCGCCCTGCGAGCAGTTCACGGGGCGCTGCCAGTGCCGGGAGCGGACGTTCGGACCCCGCTGCGACCGCTACTGCCAGTGCTACAAGGGGAAATGCAACCAGGTGGATGGGACCTGCACGTGCGAGCCGGGGTACCGGGGCAAATACTGCCGCGAGCCCTGCCCCGCTGGTTTCTACGGCCAAGGCTGCCGGCGGCGGTGAGTTTTGGGACCCTGCTGGTCCGGGGAGGGGTGGAAAGGGGGGTTTTGGGGTGCCCCAAGGTGCCCTGGGGATGCTGCATGCCGTGATGGAGTCTCCCTTGGCCGTTGCAGCTGTGGGCAGTGCAAGAGCCTGCAGCCCTGCACCGTGGCGGATGGGCGCTGCCTGACCTGCGAGGCAGGGTGGAACGGCACCAAGTGCGACCAGCCCTGCTCAGCCGGCTTCTACGGGGAGGGCTGCGAGAAGGTCTGTCCCCCCTGCAAGGATGGCCACACCTGCAACCACATCAATGGCAAGTGCTCGCACTGCAACCCCGGCTGGATCGGTGACCGGTGAGTGCCAGGCGGCGGAGTCGGTCCTCACCGGGTGCTGGCATCGTGCTGGAGCAGCACAAGCATCCCCGCTGCTCCCTGCGTGGGGATATGGGGTGGGCAGGCAGGTCTGCACAGCCAGGAGGGGGTGGCGAGGGTGGGAGCCTGCTGGCACGGCTGTGGGACCACAGGAAGCCTGTGGTGACCCCACCTAAAAGTGGGAGCTCACAGGGCTTGGCTCTGAAGCTTTCGTGGAGTCTCTTTGCCCAGGGTCAGGTCTGGGGCTGACGTCTCACATCCTTGCACGGAGCAGGCAGGGCGGCGTGGGGGACATGGGGGGAGGCCTCAGGAAGCCCCCCTCCCCGGCACTCCAGCTGCCTGCCCTCACCACCCCTAGGTGCGAAACCAAGTGCCGCAATGGGACGTACGGGGACAACTGCGCCTTCGTCTGCAGCGACTGCGTCAACGGCGAGTGCCACTTCGAGACGGGCAGGTGCCTGTGCCGCGCCGGATCCCATGGCACGTAGTAAGTGAGCTGCAGCCCTTGCCTCGGTGCAGCAAGCACGGAGCGTGTTCTTGCTGAGCTGTGGTATTGGCACGGGAAAGCTGCAGTTTGGGAAGCAAAACAGAAATGCTGCCTGAAAAGGCAAGGAGCGTGTCCTCACCATGAAGGGAGGGTGCTAAAGGAAAGGTTGCTGAGACACCTGTGGTGTGCACAAAGTCTACCTGCTCTGCATCATTCCTGGAGGTGTCTAGACCCTCTTGGAAAAAAAAAATAGCCTCCTGTGCTTTCCCAAAATCTTTTAGCCTGGGGCAGAAATGTGGATCCAGCTGGGCTGCCCTGGAAATATCCCTGCACCCATCGCCGTGTCCTGCCCCGTGGCTGCTGCAGCAGAACAGCTGCTGGGAGCATCTGCGGGGGCTCAGCACCCGTTCCTAACGCTGCAGGCACGAGGCTCGGCTGGGGCAGCGCTTTGAAAGTTGGAGTAGCATGAAATGGGCTGAGCTGCATGAAGTGTGAGCGGGCTGGAGCGTGGCTTCTGCCACCTGGGAACAGCTGGCGATGGGGTCAGTGCCCAGCGGTGCCAGCAGCCTGCCCGAAATCGCCCTGGTGCCACAGTGCGGCGCCTGTCCCACCAGCCGTGGGGTCATCTCGGTGCCTTGCAGCCACATGGCTGGGCTCGGCTGATTATTTTTTTTTTTAATTTATTTTATTCTGAACGTGCTTTGTTCAAAAAGGATGCCTAGAGCAAAGTATGATAGGAGGGGAGAGAAGGAAAAAAAAAAAAAGAGATATAAAACACCTTGCACTGTTATTGTCCCCAGAGCTCTGGGGTCAGGATGCAGGGCAGGATAGGTCCCATGGGTCCCACCCTGCTGGAGAGCTACGTGGCTCTGTCAGTGTGTGCCCAGCTTGTATTTTCTGTGCTCAAGCCCCGGTGTCTGTGGGAAGGCGCCTACACCTGTGTGTGCTCCTCACCTTGGTGAGAGCCCCCGGGGAGGCTGCTTTGCGCAAGGAGGTTTGATGCCGACCCGGGAGGGTTCACCCTGGTGAGGCAGATGCTGTGGCTCTTTGCTCAGACCGATCAGTTGTTTTCCTTTCTGTAAATAAAGCGAGCTGGGAGCTTTCCAAGCTCGTGGGCTGCGGGGGAAGGGCTCCGAGCTGCACATGCTCTGGGGCAGCACGGGGCGGCCCGCAGGGTGCCACGGCCACGTCACCGCAGAGCTGAGCTGGAAAAACCTGGCACGGGATGCTCGGGGCTGCCTCGGGGCTGCTGGGCTGGTGTCGGATGTGACCGAGGGGTTAGGGACACTTCTATAACCGCTGTGCCATGAGCCTCGTTGCAAAGCCTTGCAAAGCACACAGGGATGGGGAGGACTCTTTGGCCACGTGGAGAGCAGAGGCAGCGAGAGCAAACCCGGGGACACGCCAAGGTGGCTGTGATGCACCGGGGTCCTGCCGCAGTGGGGATCGCAGGGTCCCCAGGGGGATTCCGTGTTGGAGCAGCCCGGAGCAGTGCCCCCAACTTTTCCCAGAGCCTGAGGGTTTAGGATAGAGAGAGGAAGGGAGCATCCCCGGGATGCTGCACCTGCAGCGCGCTCACTCACTCCGTGCCCTCTCCCCAGCTGTAACCTCACCTGCCCGCTCGGCCACTACGGAGCCAACTGTGCCGAAGCCTGCAGCTGCCACGACGGCACGTGTGACCCTCTGACGGGCGCCTGCCACATGGGTGAGTGCCGGTGGGTGCGGGCGGCTGGACCCCCGGGCAGCTCCCGGCTGAGCCTGCTCCTGTCTTGCAGAGGCCAACCAGCGGATGGGGGTGATCGGGGCAGGGGCCCTCCTGGCGCTGCTGCTCATCCTCCTGCTCTCGCTGCTCTGCTGCTGCTGCGTCTGCCGCAAGAAGGACGAAGCCCGAGGGTGAGTGTTGGGATGCGGGCAGCACGGGGTCCCGGTGCTGTTCCTTGGGGTCTTCACGGTGAACCCCAAGTGGGTGCGGAGGTGCAGGACCCTGGCAGCAGCTCCTGAGGTGCCCACGGCATCCCACAGAGCGTTTCTTCAATCCCTTCGGTGTGCCAGCATTGGCTGTTTTGTTTTGTTTTGTTTTGTTTTTTTGTAAGTGGATGCTGGCAGGCAAAGGGAAAAATGGGAAGGAAAACCCAGGCTGGTTTCCCATCCTCATGAGGATAGGGAGAAGAAGGCATGGGGTGGGGGCAGGAGGACCCCCTTCCCTGCACTCCTGGGGTGGCCCCTGGCTTTGTGTCCCACTCCACTGAGATCCCCCTGAGTCTCTGAGGGTTAGAGCCACCCTGCAAAGGGAAACCCAGAATCCCAGACATCAACCTCCCGGGTGGTCCATGGGGTGAAGCCAGCCCCCCAGTCCCTGCTACGGGGGCAGGGATGGGAACAGGGATGGGCACTTTTTGGGGAGAAGGTTTGCACCGCTGGGCAAGGGAGGAGGGGGCTCGGGGAGCTCCTCCAGCAGCAAGAAAGCCTCCTCTGGTGCTGCCAGCCACTGCACGGGATTTTTCCGGAAAGCCTCAGCTTGCAGCTGTGCCAGCTCAGCTCCAGCCTGGCACATCTGGTTTGGAGAGCCTGCGGGCTGCGTGTCATTACGCCGCAGATAAAAGGAGCCACTTCACAACTGCAGCAAGCAATACTTGGAGAAGTATTGCATGGGAAGTGGCTCCAAATAGTTTTCTCTCCCCGTGCGGGGTGCCGGACCCCATTCGGTGACCACCGGGTCCTGTCCCCGAGCAGCCCATGGTGGCGGTGCCGCAGAGGACAGCGGTGGCCGGGTCCCGCAGCAGGGAGACTGCACAGGTTGAGTGGCATTGACACGCTGAGCCTCTTGCTCCTGTGGCTGCAGATAATTGCTTGGAAGCTCATCCCCGAGAGGCTTCAAAACCAGAGAGCAAATAAAGAGAAGCCACGTGTTTGCTTGGGGTTGGGATTTTTTTTTTAATTATTTTTTTTTTTAAGCATTAATCATCTAATTCCGAGCCTTGTCTGGGAGCTTGTGGGTGTTTCAGGCAGGGTCTGGCTGTGCCACAAGGCTGCACCAGGCTTCAGCCACTTTGAGAAAAATCTCTCCAAAGCAAAACCAACAGGGACTGCGCTCCTGGGCTCCCCTGCTGCATCTCTCCCTCTCAGTCCTGTCTCTTCCCCAAAACCCCTTTGCGTTTCCAGCATCCCCGAGCTCCTGATTCAACAAGTGGCTCAGTGATTGATGCCCCCCTGCCCCGTGCAGCCAGCACCTGGTGTCTCACTGTTCCTGATGGGGCTGTTGTGTTGTCTTGCAGAGCAAATCAGGACCCGGCAGCAGCCAAGAAACCGCCGAGACGCTTGTGTGGGCGCTTCAGCCGGATCAGCATGAAGCTCCCGCGCATCCCCCTGCGCCGCCAGAAGTTGCCCAAGGTTGTAGGTAGGGAGCCGAGGGGCAGCAGGGACACCGGGATCCCCAGGAGGGCTGCAGGGCTCGGGGTGAAGCTGCCTGTCCCTGGCTGTGCTGAGGGTCCCTGCCACGCTGCAGGGCACTGGGTACCCCGAGGTTCCGTCCTTCCCTCTCAGCCTTTGGCTGCTGGATCCCAAGGTGGGATCTGGGTGTCTTTGCTTGCCGAGGGATGGTGCCTGGAGCTCTGCTGAGCTGTTTTGTGCATTTTTAGTTTCCCACGTTGAGGAATGATCCCTGTTGCAGTAAAAAAAAAAAATCTGCATTTTCAATCCTAACCCATCCCAGTTTTGTGAGGGGCTGAAGCACCCCACGGTGGAGCAGCTGCCCCCCAGGGTGCAGGGGGCTGGCAGGGAGATGTCCTCCATCCTGGAGAAGTCTCCCCCCTTCTCTGCAAGCTGAGCCAAAGCTGCTGCAGGTCTGCAGCGTGGCTGGATTCCTTCCCTCCCTGGGATGCAGCAGAGCCCTGCCCCGGAGCGGAGCGTGCTGAGGCCGGGGAAACATCCCTGCTGCAACCAAAACAGGGGCTGTGTTTGTGGAAGGGGCCAGGCAGGGCTCGGAGGAGGACAGAGGGGTCTGTGTGCGCGGGGCTCAATGGGGCTGTGTGCGCGTTTCCTGCAGCCGCCCCGTGGCACCTGGCTCCCACCCAGCTGCCCTGTGTAAACAGGGAGCCCGGCGGCCCCCATCCCTCATAGTTCAGCCTCGGCCTCCCTGACGGAGGAGTCTGCACTGGGAGATGCTCGTGAGGCTCGCTGATCCCATGAGGTGTCGATGCTGACAGCTCCAGGTCCCTCTGGGGCTCAGCCCTGGGTGTCTCTAGATCCCGCTCGGCACGGGGAGCCCCGGGTGAGGGAGCTGGTGGCATCTGCATGTGGTGGCACAGTGAGTGGGACTGGCCTCGGGGGTGCCACAGCTTGGTGGCACGTGTCCCCGTGTCCCCGTGTCCTCAGCATCCATCCCAGTGGGAAGCACAAGGCGGGGGGGTCCATGAGGCTCGGGTGCCAGCCCTTGCATGCATCGGTGCAAGGACCTGGGGTGCCAGCAGTGCCTGTACCACATCTCGAGGCTCCAGGGAGCCCTCATATGGGGCCTCTCACGGCTTTGTCTCCATCCTGAGATCTAACAGCACGGCCCCGAGTGCATTTAGGGCTGATACGACTTCTCGTTCACGTGCAGCCGCTTGTGAGGCACAGAAGGCAGGGGGTGCAGGTGACGTGGGGCAGGACTCGTGCCGCAGGTGGCATCAACGCTCCGGTCCTGCTGCCAGGCTCATGGAGGTGTCGGCGAGCAAACGGGCTCCTTGTTGGCCTGCAAGAAGCAAATGGATTTCTGCAGCTCCTGTCAGCCCCTGATTTATCAGCCAAGTTTCCCCGAGCCAGATGCCAGAGCAGAGCAGGAAACGCTGTCCCCAGGGGCATCGCACGGCGCAGCAGCCGCCTGCGCTCCCGGCTGGTACCGGCACCACTGCACCCTGCTCCGCGTCCCTGGGCTGCACCCAGGGCAGCGTGGCATTCCTGCCGAGGGGAAATGAGCCCTGGCCAGACCCGACCCTGCTCCAAAGGCGTGCTCTGGTGGTGTTTTTCACGCTGATGGGCTTTCCCAGAGGCCAGGCGGGAGCCCCCAGCTGAGCTCTCAATTGCTGCTGGTGCTCGGGGAGAGCCTCCTTTTCCTTCGGCCGTATCCTCTGCCTCATCCAAGTCCTGGAGATGCCTCGTGGCCATGAGTCCCAGCGACTTGTCACGCCTTCTCTCAGGAAGCGTTGTGCTTCATCTGTTTCCAACGGTCTGCTTTTAATTTTCCCTTTTTGGTTTTTATTACAAGGAAAGTCATGTCAGAGCTGCCGCTTCCCCCTCTCTCAGCCATTTGCTCTTTAAATACCACTGCTGCTTTTGCTCTGGCACAACTGCTCTGAAGTTTCTCTCTGCTGCTGCTTCCTCCTCCATCCCCTTATGCAGCCGGGGCTCGGTGCCCTGTCCAACCACGCTGGCACTGAGCAGGCGTTGGCGAGTGGCTCAGCCCCTGCTGCATCCACGCTTCAGGTCAGTCCCCTTCCAGTTTTATTCCCCCTTATGCTCACAGTCACCTCTGCTACCCTCTTTCTTACTTGCACGGTGACGGAGGATGAGTAGGATGGCTCTTTGGGATGCACGTGGGGAGCGTGGCCGGTTCACATCATGGCTCACCCCCCCTCTTTGTCTGTCCTGCACTTACCCATCTGCTATTTTGCTGCATCTTTGTTCTTCTCCAAGAGACAGAGCCCCAGGGGTGTCGCAGTGACCAGAGGTGATGCCGAAGCGTCTGGGTCAGGGCGCAGGGCGTGCAGGGAGGCACCGTGGGGCTTGCTGTTTGCGTTGGCAGGGCAAAAAAATCTCACCCTCAAGGATTTATACTGACTTTTTTTTTTTTTTTTTTTTGGTGAAAATACTTAAATGCGATCGATGAGAAATAACAGCTGCTTCCCAGACTGGAAAACTCACGTTCACAGAAATGGGAACTCCCGCAGTTAACCCTGGCAGCTCGGTTCTGTCCCCAGGAAGGGGACAGTGCCCCTGAGCATTGTATAGCGAGGCTGCCCATGGTCACTTGTCCCCGAGCACGGAGGATATTTGTCACTGCCCTTGCAGGGAGCTTGGCCGCAGTGTGGGCACTCTGCTGGGACCCCCTGAAGGCGAGGCCGTCCCTGTGCCTGGGAAGCCATCCCCATCATCCTGCCAGGATCCCAATTCCCATGGTCAAATCAGGGGTGGAGCAGGGCTGGGGTGTGTTAGGGCAGGCACTGACAGCTGGTTCCCCGCTCTTGCAGTGGCTCACCACGACCTGGAGAACACCCTGAACTGCAGCTTCATCGAGCCACCCTCGGTGGTGGAGCAGCCCTCCCCGTCCTGGTCCTCCCGCGGTTCCTTCTCCTCATTCGACACTACAGACGAGGGGCCGGTGTACTGCGTCCCCCATGAAGGTGAGCAGAGGGGCACGGCGCTTCCGTGGGTGCTTTGGGGCCAGCTCCAACCCCACCTCCTGCTCCGTGGGGAGATGAGGGAGGGGAGGTGGCACCGTGCCTGGAGAGGGCTGTGCGCTCCTCGGGCGCGTCCTCGCGTGACGCTTTCTGTGCTCTTCTCCCGCAGAGAGCGTGGGTGACAGCAGGGACCGGGGGACGTCCTCCAGCCCCGGAGAGAAGCTGGTGGCCCCAGGCGGCGGGGAAGAGGCGGGCGAGTACACCTTCCTGAAGGAGACTGGCTCCGTCAAAGCCTTCCAGGCTGACAGCAGCGAAATGCCCCTGCTCAAGTCCTCGGACAGCGAGCGCTCATCCTGCGGGTCGGGCTCAGCCAGTGCCGCCCTCTACGCCAGGGTCGCCCGCCTCTCCAAGCAGTCCAAGGAGGAGGAAGAAATGGCAGCGGAGCCCAGGGGGGGCCCCGGGAAGCCACCGTCCCCGGAGAGAACCAAGCCCCGTCCCCCCGACCCATCCACCAAGCCCAAGGTGTCCTGGATCCACGGCCGGTACAACTCCAACCAGTCCAACTCGCTGCCGGCACCCGGCAGGTCCCCGGAGCAAGCGGCCACGCTGCCCAGCAGCCCCGAGCACAGCCAGGGCTTGGCCAAGAGGAAGAGGAGCCCCAGCGAGACGTCAGCCTGCGCGCACAGCAAAGCGGAGGAGAAGGGCAGCACGCGCAGCAAGGAGAGAACGCAGAAGCACCCCAAGGAGCCCGGGGTCCCCGAAGGCAAAGCCGGCCTCACCGTGGAGCCCCAGTCCCCCTCCAAGCCCAAGCAGAGGAGCAAGGCCAACGCGGAGCAGATGGAGAACATCAACGGGGCGGTGCAGAACGCCTTCAAAAAGATGGGCGGCTTCCACCCAGAGCGGCGCAGCGGGGAGGCTCCCCGCAGCCCCGGTGCCGGCAAGCCGCGCTCTGAGACCCTCCATCCCCACCTGGCCTCCGAGGCAGCCACGCTGCTGGCTGCCCAGCTGAAGGAAAAGACTCAGAGCCTCAACAAGGGGGAGGGCAGCGCCCGGCCCAACGGGGTGGGTGCCCAGCGGGAGAAGCCCACCCCGCCGCAGAAAGCCAAGCGCTCGGCAGCTGCTGGCAGCCAGAAAGCCAGCAAGCCCCTGCTGCCCACCTCGCCCAACCTGCAGAAACTGATCCCCACTGCGGCCGAGCCAGCGGCCGGGGAGCCCAGGAGGGCAGAGAAGCAAAACCCCATTAGCAGCCAGGACCCGGCTCCCCAGAGCGAGCAAGCAGCCAAGAAGACGCCCATTAAAAAGCCTCCCAGGAAGAAGAGCCGAGAAGCCACCCTGGAGCCGCCCAAAGCAGCCGCGGTGCCCGCTCAGACGGTGCAGTAACGGGGAGCCTGGCACCCCGGCCCCATGCCAGCCTGCCCCACACCGGGCGTGCTTGGGCAGGAGGAAGGACGTCTGCAGGCACCTGGGGGCCTGGACTGGAGAGGGGGCACCGCAAGAGCCGCCCAGCCTCCTCTTTTCCCCATCTTATCCCTCACCCTCCTTTTCCCTTAACCCCATCTCCTCCCCTGCCCCGGTACCCACCCTGTGCCCTGCTCCCCACTCCCCAAGCAGGGGCAGGAGCTGGGGGCTACCCCCCACCCCCTTTTTGTTAGCAGTATTATCGATCGCATAAGCAGCGCTTGTTGTACTAGACGTGCCCATGGTATATTCTGCAGTAACGGAGCCACTCGCTTCCCACGGCCCCGCTCGGGGCCGTCGGTCCCTGCCGTGGTGGGGGCGAGGGGATGAGCAGGGCCGGGGCCGTGCCCCCCAACATCCTCGCCCCGTGCCCAGGCTGCTCGCACATCCCCGCGCTGCCGCTTCAGCTTCTCCGCTCCTGGAGGCGCAGCCCCCGGTGCCGCTGCCCCCCTCCCCGGTGCCGCCGTCCCTCCTCCACGCTGCTCCTGGCGCGGGGTCGAGCTGGTTTCGACCGATGTCCCCCCCCGGGCCGTGGGGCTGCCTCTGCCAGGAGCAGCCAGCAGGTAAGCACTATTTATGGCCAGAGCCAGACGCCGCGCTCAGGGAGGCCGTCACGGCTCACGGGGGCCCAGCCAGCAGAGCCGAGCGGATGAGTTTGGTACGACAGAGCCTGGCATCTCTGCAGAGCGCTTTTCTAATAAAGTGTATTTCTACCACGCCTGGGTGCCGTCTCTCCGTGCCCCAGGCTGCCCACATGCCGGGCATTGCCTGGCCTCGCTCGGGTGCTCAGGACCCCGTGGTCCTAAGCAGGGCACGGTGGGGAGAGGGGAGGACCTGGTCCTAGCAGGGGGCTCTCTTTGCAAAAGAGCCCCCAGTGCCTGGTGCCTCTGCAGCTCTTTGCTGCAGCTGCTTTTGCAGGCTCAGCCTTTGTTGTGAGCTTATGTCCCACAACAGAGACCAGTTTTGGGGTCAGAATCATTGGCACCCTGCAGGTGCCATCCACCTTGTAGTCAGACTTTCTCCGGCGAAGGCAGGGTTGGATCCTGGGGCTCGGGAGAGCTCTGGCCACTGCACGCTGCCTGTGCTCTGTGTTGCTGTCTGGCTCCTTTGGGGCAGTGTCTCCTCACCAGCCAGCAGCTTCCAGCCTCAGCAGGAGCCTCCCCTGCCCATCAGGCTGCAGCCTCGCTCTTCTGCCTGGCTCTGCCTGGTGTCACGAGAAATAAAAGCAGATCTCTGCCGACCTTGGGGCAACCTCGGGCACAAAGGATCCACGACCGGGCTGGTGGTCCTCCTCTGGGCCTTTCCAGCTCCTTCAGATCCCACTTGAACTTGATCCACAGCTGGACTCCACTGAGGTGCAGCTTTGCAGGGAGGACACAGCAGCTTTTGCCTGTGCCTTTCCCGACCGCTTCGCCACCCTCAGGAGCCAAGAACAAGCTGTTCAGCCCAGCATCTGCAGCCCCCAGGTTCTTCGTAGGGTCCCTCCAGCTCAGATGGGTCAGGCTCACCTCAAACCTGCACCCCAGGCCCTGGAGGTCATCAGCAGTGCGATGGATGTGGCACCGCCACACCTCGGCATCACCAAGGGCTGATTTTTCTGCAGAATGTGACTCTGAGTCCCTTTTCCAAGCATCTGCTGGGGCCTGCAGACTCTCCTCCCACTCCTGCTCCTGGGTTATCGCTAGCAGACAGCTCCACGTGATACACAGTGCCGTGTGGAGCTTGTTTTATGGTTTTCAGACTCTGTTGATTTGTGGACCCCTAAACAATTTCCCCTGCAGCTGTGATCCCCACTAAAAAGTTCATCCTTAGCATAAATAAACTTGTTTATTTAACCTCATCCCACCACTCTCTTAGACATACATAAGGCTTTGACCTCAAGGAAAGGAACAGCTGAATTCCATCACAAGAGGAAGCTGGAACACGGGACAATAACATGGAATAATGGAATAAAAAAGTAACCGAGCCTTCCGCTCTCCCAAGACCAAGCATCTCCTGCAGCCACCTTCCCTGACAGACCAGCCAGAGGTTTTGGGTGTCAGTGTCACATCTGGGGCAAACACGGATGAAGAGATGCTGTGGATATGGCCAGGAGGAGCTCCTGGGATGGTGCAGAAGCTGCCCAGCAGCCACCAGCCACCACCTGCAGCAGAAGTGATGAGCGTGGTGCTGAGCCCAGGGTGGTGAGCCACTCCTGTACCATATGGCACGCAGGAGCCCGGTGCCCCACGGCTGTCCTAGAGCAGAGGCAGGGGCAGCAAAAACCCACCAGCAGCACCAGGCGATGTGGTCCAAGCGCGGGGCGACCCCCGGCCCTCCTCTCCTCCACCAACGCTGTGAAATCGGTGTTCTTCCCACCTCATCCCACTTTCCAAAACTGAAAGAGGAGTCGTTGGGTTGGAAAACAGCGCATTTGTTTTGGCTTGGCCAGAGAGCAGCAATAAAAGCAAGCCCGTTGCCAGCAATTCATTTCCTATTTCAGGCCCTACCAAAAATAAACTCTTAAAAGAAATTCAAATGAGAATGAAATATGCATGAGACAGCGAGCTCCCGGGATTATATAGAAAGCTCTCTCCAAGCACTCGCCGGGAGGGGAGCGGTGATGTTTGGTGCTGAGGAGGGATTGCGAGGGGCCTGGGACACCCCAGGGGCTCAGCCAGCAGCAGGTCACAACCCGGGGGGGGGAGGAGGTGTCCCAGGGTCCCCATCAGCCCCCATCAGGGTGCAGCTCAGGGACCCTGTGCCACCAGCCCTGAATCTGCACAAAGCCCTGAGCCCCTACAGCCTTCTCTCAGAGGTTGCAGAACCTTTCCCCAGCTGTTTGCATCCAGCTCTGCCCTTTCTCCATGCACCAGATGCTTTCTGGTTCCTTTTTCTGTGCTCCTCAGCCCTGCACAGCCAGAGGTTCACCAGAGCAGCAAGGCAGGAACACCAAAGCCAAACCCAAGCGCTGGTGAAATGCCTTTCTGCAGTGCTCAGCAGGGAAAAGGGGAGCTGGGATAAGGTGCAGCTCAAAATCCCGAAACCTGACCCAAATTGGGGAGGTCCAGCTGGCCCAGAAGCACCCCCTGTCCCCTTCCTGCTCACCCCATGGAGCAGGGGCAGCGTTCCCTTGTGGTCCAGGGCACCAGTTCGTCCCTGGTCATAACAAAATGCAAGCAGCAAGCAGACAACTTGCAGCAACTCCGGTGCTTCTGGACCGATCCAAAAGCCTGAAGCTTTATGACAGCTCTGGAAAGCTCTGGTCGGCATAATTTAGGAAAATCCCTCTTTTGTCTCGTGGAAAGTGCGAGGGCATTCACATCCAAGCACTGTGAGCGGGAGAGGCAGGACAAGTCGGCGGAAGGCAGGCAGAGGCATCTGCAGCGCCGCTACCTGATTTATCCCCGCGTCTGCGCTGGCCTGGCTGCAGCACGGCACGTTGCAGAGCACCCGTGCTTGTTTAGTCTGTATGGGAGCACAAATCACGGCACTATGTCATCGCTCTGCCAGGGTCTGGATTTCATTAGGAGCCACATGATCGGCCCAGGCTGCTGCTCGGGGATGGCCGCGCTCCCCCTGCACTGCGCAGGACGCGGAGGCGATGGCTGGGGCACGGCACTCAGCTTGCTCCTTGCCTGCAGGTGAGGGCCAGCAGTGGTGGGACAGGACTGCAGCAGCAGGGAGAGCGCAGAGAGCAGCCCGGCAGCCTCCACAACATGGGGTGGTCTCCCTGGGATGTCTGGAGACCCTGACGATATCCTCAGGGCAAGGGAGAGTGCTTGCGAGCGTGCCCTGGGCCTGAGGATGGAAGGGGCTGGCTGCAGGGCTTGCAGCTTTTGTAGCCCCTGCAGCCCACTGCATCCTTTGCATCCTTTGTGCCACTCACAGCCCTTGCACCCCCTGGAGCCCAGTGCATCCTTTGCACCCCATTGTAGCTCTTGCACCCTGCACGTCCCTTGCAGCCCCTGCACAACTCCCAGTCAGGCCTGCGTGCTTCTCCCTCTCACCCACCTCCTTCCCAGGTACCCTGCAGCGACCCCAGAGCACCCAAGGCAGCGAGGAGCCCAGAGCATCACTTGCAGAGTACTTGGGATCATAAGAACGAGTCACTCTGTGTCACACAGACCTCCTGAGGGGGGTCAGGGACACCCCCTCGGGCTGCTGAGTCCCAACCAACATCAGCTTGTCCAGCTCTCTACCCGCTGTGGTACCTCAGCCAGGGCAGGGCTGCAGCCCCCAGCTGCGTCAGCCTGGATGTTTCTCGTGGCACGAGCTGTTCGGCTCCAGGGGAGAAAGCTCTGGCATGAAGACCCCATGCTCCCCCCCCCAAAAAAAAATAACACTCGGACCAGGCAGGTAGGATCCCCCTAAATCCAGATCTTATTTTAGCTACAGCTCAGGCTGAAATTCCCCGTTTGGATGTTCAGCTCCTGAGGCCATAGCAGGGGAACACATTCACTCCGCAGCACTTGTCAAGTTTGGATAAAACCAGAGAGCCTGAGGGGGTGGCTGTGAGGCTCCCACCGGTCCCCCCCTCACCCAGGGGATGAGTGCCAGTGAGGCTGAGGCCAGCCGAAAGGTTACAGAGGCAGCAGGAGGAAGGCAGGGAGCAGGGGCTGGGTGGCAAAGCCACCACCAAGAGCGACCACACGGAGCAGAGCAGGCGGGCAGCGAGCACGGGATGAGAAGAGAGGGGTGGAGGGACAGAGGGACAAGAGGGGGATCTCAGCTGGGCACAAACCAAGCTGGTGGTGGCCAACACATCCCTGGGCAGAGCTGGTGCCGAATCCCCAGTCTCTGTCACGGCTAGCCAAACCCGTAGCCGTGCCTTGGAGAGGAGGGCTGCGGGCAGGTTGCTCTCCGAAACGCAGCCCTTCTGTGCCCAGAGGATCTGCATCACTTCCCTTCCACCTCTACCGAGAAGTCTTTGGGCTTCTTGCTTACAGCAGTAAAGCAACATCTTGTGCAAACGCCGCAGTGCAGCTGCCTCTTTTGGCACAGCGGGCTGCCCGGTGAAGCCCTGCAGCCGTTCTCAGCCCCGGCTCGGTGACTCAGAGCCACAGCGATGTGGCTGCTGCCCCGCGGGGACACCGGGCTCTGGCAGCCATCCCCTGCGGATGGCTTTGCGCTCAGGTTTCTCTAGAGGATTGCTCCTAATTGCAATGTTCTCCAGTTGCTGAAATGAGTCGTTGCACTTCATGTGTGTACACGTTTTGCTCCCTCTGCCTTGCCCGTTCAAATTGGGATCTCAGAAGTCCTGCACAGGCAAACCTGCCCTTCGGGGAAAGGTAATGACCAGACTCCCTGCCCTAAACGTGCAGGGAGCACTGGATACCTGTGCAAATCAAGCCTGGGGACCTCACTGCCCTGGGAGATGTGTCCTTGGGTGAGTGACCTGCTGGGAGCAAGGTGCTCTGGCAGTGCTGCACCTCATGGGAGCAGCCCTGGGGCAGTGGCAAGACAAGCAGTTCTGTCAGCACAGCATCCCTCGAGCCCTCTGGATGTCCCTGCAAGCCCCACGACCCAGTGCAAGGCTTTAGGATGCACAGCCACACATGGGAAGGTCCTTCCTCATCCCATGCTGCACCCCCTGAGCCCCCTGGATCTTACCCCAGCTGCTCGGGGAACCACTGCTGATGCCCCCCACCACCTGATTGAGTACTCCCACCCCAACGTGAGCCCACACCTCAGCTCAGGGCATGCTCCTTGCCCATGTGCAGTGCCCTCATCCCCATGCCCACGGTCTCACGCAGCCCCCCAGCAGGGCCCTGGCCCCCAGCTCCAGCTCCATCCCCCTGGCTGGCTTGCTGCAGCGCCTGCCCCACATCGCTCCGGGTGCCTCCCAGCCCAGCACAAAGGCAGCGTTGGCCCCACGCACCCCGAGCCCGCTGCCTCGTGGCGTGCACACCGGCTCAAATATCCGCGCCGGTTCCCACAAGCAGCCCAGCCTTTCCAAGACAGCCTGAGAGCTGGGAGGAGACAGCGCCCCGAGCCTGCCAGACTAATGAGAAGCGCATGGGACCCACATCTGTTAGCAATTGAGCAGGGAGCAGCGTTGGGAACGGAGGAAGCACATATTTCCTGCAGCACAAAGGAAGGGAGAGGAATGTCCACAGCAGAGCAGAGCAGCGTGGGGGCCCCAGGGTGCAGGGCCCTCCCACACACGGTGACTCCAGCCCCCTCCCTCCACCAGCTCAGCCAAGGCTCCTTCGATAGGGGTTGGGGCATAAAAGGCACAAGGGGCATTAAATCTGCAGAGGGTCACAGCGCCGATGGGCTGAGGCTCCCCCTAGAAAGAGTATTGGAAAGAGGGTGGAAAAGACAGAGCTGGTGAAGCAGCCTTATGGGCTGGAGAGTTCAAAACAGGGGCAGCTCCGTGACAAGTGAGACATGCTTGGGATAGGGACAAGGCAGGCTGCATTCAGGGCTGTCCTCAGCAGCAGTGGGCCCACACGTCTGGTGCTGGTACCGGGTGGAGTCCTGGCCCCACTACAGGGCAGGCGAGGCTGCTGAAGGGTTTGCAGGCTGCATGGCCTGGGGATGGATGCCCTGACACAGCCAGAGAGAAACAGGCCCCTGGCACAGCAAAATGCTGCCTGGTTGGGATGCAGGTGGGGGAAGGGCAAAGATCGAGACATCCAAAGTTGCTCAATTCCAGCTGCATCTCATCCCAGGAGGAAGCTGATTCAACAGTTCAAGACGGTTCAAGTCCCTGCCAGCTGGTGCACAGCAGGATCCCTGCTCTGCAGGGCTGTTTGTGACAACCTTGATGGCATGGGGACACCAGAGCACGGGCCACATCACGGCCACGGCCACCTCCAGGGCTGTGCTGATGCGAGGCTCCAGGCTGTGCTCAGC